AGAACCTTCACGGGATTTGACCCCATTAACTTTTAGAAAATGGAACGAATGTTCTGAAAACATATTTCTATTCCATACCCTAGAACAAAATGAGCACTTAACGAGTGTAGCTCCACTGCAAGGGAAAGTTTTTAAAATGGCGGGAGTTCTTCTTTAAAGGGGCCTGAAGGATAAGCGCACTTTGTTCTAAATTGCACTTATATTTGAAATGATTAAGTTTAAATTATTAGGGTGAAATTGTATAGAAACTGTTGCATAACACTTTTAACATGATTTGGTGCATTTGGTACACAAAAAATGTACCTCTAATTACACCAGAATACCAATGTATTTCCCATTGCTAATTCCTTCTTCTGTGTTGGAACAGATCCATGTCTTTAGCACTCCAAAGCTGATTCTGATATAGAGATCAGTATAACAAAATATGTATTATATACAGTAATTGTAGCCCACCTCCACCCAAAACTTGGGGGGAAGAGTTACAACTAGGGATGCACTGAATTTCTTGGCCGAAATGGTACTTTGGGCAGAATGCCAAAAGCATATTTTTTTTGTTGAAAATGCAGTGCATTCCTAGTTTCTCTCCTCCTCCCCGCTGGACGCTGCTCTGTGTCCCCTCTAAACCCTGCTAATCCCCCTGACCATGTCGGCAGAGGCCGTGGGACCGGTGGGGCCACAGAGCGGCACCCAGTGGGGAGGAGAGAAACTATTAGGAGACTGAGCGGGGAGGAGAGAGCTGTCAGCGTTGTCACAGGAGGCTGAACTCTGCTCCCGCACCGCCTCCTGTTACAAACAAATTAGGATGGAGAGTGGTGTCGGGAGGAGAGCGCTGTCAGCAGTATTACAGGAGGCCGAGCCCTGCTCCTGCACCGCCTGCTCAGCCTCCTGTGACAGCAAGTCAGGATGGAGAGCAGTATACAAACACTCAGCGAACAGTTGATCGCTGAGTTTTTGTAAATAACTGAGGACATAGTATGTTTACTGTGTCCCCAATTATGAATGGACAGGAAGTTCTCTACATCAGTTCCTGTTCATTCATGATTGTGGGCATAGTAATTGATACTATCTCCACAGTTTATGAATGAACAGAAACACTCAGTATAGAGGCTTCCTGGTCATTCATAACATGGGCTGCAAAAAAGAGATTTAGGACTCTGTGTCCTCAATGTCTTTTTCTATTTTAAAAGGGAAATATCAGGGGTCTGTTTAGACCACCAATATTTCCTCCAAAGCCCGCAACAGTAAAGTAAAAATAGTAAAAATAAATACAAATAAAATATTAAAAAAAGAATTTTGAAAAGGTTAGAAAAATAATAATTTTCGGTTTCGGCCTGACAAATTTTTATATTTTCGGTTTTGGTCTACAAATTCCATTTTTGAGCACCTCTACTTAGAATTTCTATCAGGATCTTATTGCTGCTTCTGTCCCATTGGATAGATTTTGCCAGCGGTCGGAGACAACAGGAAGCAAGGATAAAATCTCTACAATTTTTAGTGGAAAGGACAGGGGATAGAACCGCTGCCAGGATTTGATTTAATTTTGTATCCTTGCTGATGAGATTTCCCCTTGTGTCCTGCCAGGTCAGGTGTCTCACTAAGAACACACCAGAGGGGTGGTACTAAAGAAGTTCACCCCAGGCCGTGTGCAGTATAAAAATATTCAGATTGCTTTATTAAACCATAATAAATATACAACAGATTAAAAAAATACACATCACCAATATTAAAATGAAGCTATCATGAGCACCCCCTTATTGTCTGGACCACCACATTCATGTAGTCTAAACTGTAAATAACATGAATATATGTCCATGGATGTGCAAGGAAGCCAATATTCGTATAAGGATTTACTCCATTTGAATGTAAGACAAAAAAAGAATTAAGACTTAAACTTAGGTTAAGAAATCTTATCATCAAATAATAAGTCAAATAAATAATAATAAAAAGTATGTAATAAAATGTAAGATAAGAAAT